AAAAAAAAAAAAAAAAAAAAAGGCCAGGCTCAGTGACTCACACTTGTAATCCCAGCACTTTGGGAGGCTGAAGTGTGCTGATCCCGAGGTCAGGAGTTTGAGACCAGCCTGGCCGATATGGTGAAACCCTGTCTCTACTAAAAACACAAAAAAATTTGCTGGGCATGGTGGGGCATGCCTGTAGTACCAGCTATTCAGGAGGCTGAGGCAGAAGGATCGCTTGAACCTGGGAGGCAGAGGCTGTGGTGAGCCGAGATTTCACCACTGCACTCCAGCTGGTACAACAGAGCGAGATTCCATCTCAAAAAAGAAAAAGAAAGAAATTTTATTTGAAAGACCCTTCCTGTGTGTAGACCCAATGTTAGATCCACATGTTACCCAATTAACCAAATATATAACATCACTGGCCCAATTTCAACAAGCCATCCAGGAGTTTGGGCAAAAGGTACTGCCTGAACCTGACCCTTTCAGTAAGCAACCCTTATACTAGCCAGGGTTACAAGTCCTCATCAAAACCTAGAGCAATGGTCACATGGGTCTCAACTAGCCTGGGTCTGTCCCTCATGGAAAGACCCATTTATTACTTTCTACCCCAACAGTTATTAAAGTTTCTGGAATCTCTAGTTGGATACATCACTCTCAAGTAAAACTGTGGGAAGGTGCTGAAGAATCAACAACAGAATCAGCATCTGAGTAGTCTCATGAGCCAACCATTGGAGGGCTTCAGATTCCTCTTCAAGTGAAAAGATAAGTACAGCCTTCTCTCCTTTTACCGGAAATAAGGTCATCTCAGTACTGAGAATTTTGGTTGCAGTGGTATTGGTTATTCCACTCATTTTGACCCTAACTTGCATGCCACCTAAAGTCCTGATAACAGCCTCTTTTATCACTAAACACTACATCTAACCATTTATTTTTCTCTCCTATTTTCAACACTTTTCTTTTCATAAAGCTTAAGAGAAATTCCGCTATGACAGAGAAATACCTTTTCCTTTATTTTTACCTCCTTTCCATGCCCCTGCTCTCACAAGCCCAATGGAGTGAAAATTTGCTTGTCAATTTCTCCAAAATCATTGCTTCTGGAAACCATCTAACTAACTGTTGGATTTGTCACGACTTCATCACCAGATCCTCATCTTACCAATATATTTTGTTAAGAAATTTTTCTTTAAACCTAACATTTGGTTCAGGAATCCCTGAAGGCCAACATAAATCTGTTCCACTCCAGGTTTCACTTGCTAACTCAGCGTACCAAGTCCCCTGCCTGGATCTCACTCCACCTTTCAATCAAAGCTATAAAACTTCCATGTATTTGTTCAACTGCTCTTCTCTAAACCAGACCTGTTGTCCGTGCCCTCGAGGACACTGTGACTGGAACGCCACCTTGGCGGAGGAATTCCCCACTCCCACCATCCAGCCCATGAGTTTTTCCTCAACAGGTTGCCACCCTAACTTGACTCACTGGTGCCCAGCTGACAATCACCCAGTGAATAGTCCAGAGAAGTCACTCCAGAATCGGTGTACAGCTTGGGAAGGAAAAGAGCTAATAACATGGAGGGTTCTGTATTCGCTTCCCAAGGCACACACTGCCCACATATGGCCAAAAGGTGCCGCTCTCCAGGGAGGGCCTCTATCCCCTACATGCAATCGAACAATTCAAACAGGGTGGAAATCGCATTTACACAGGTGGTTCAACACCAAAAGCCCCCGGTGGGCCTGTACCCCTCCTGGCTATGCATTTTTATGTGGACCAAAACAAAATAAACTGCCCTTTGAGGGAAGTCCTAAGAGAACTTATTCAACGCCCCCTTCGGCAAACCTCTTTACTTGCATCAATAACATCCAACATGTGGGGGAATGTGCTGTGGGACTTTTGGGGCCACGGGGGATAGGGGTGACCGTTTATAACACCACCCAACCCAGACAGAAAAGAGCTCTGGGTCTCATATTGGCAGGGATAGGAGCGACCGTAGGAATGATCGCCCCATGGGGAGGGTTCGCCTATCATGAAATCACCCTCCGAAATCTCTCCACGCAAATAGGGAACCTGGCTAAGAGCACTGGAGATGCCATCTCTAAACTCAAGGCCTCCCTAGATTCTCTGGCCAACGTGGCCATGGACAACAGATTGGCCTTAGATTACCTCTTAGCAGAGCAGGGTGGAGTCTGTGCAGTGATCAATAAATCCTGTTGCACTTATGTCAATAACAGTGGGGCAATAGAGGAGGATATAAAAAAGATCTATGACCACGTTACGTGGCTCCATGAGTTTGGAAAAGGAGGTGCTTCAGAAGGGTCCATTTGGAAGGCTGTGACGTCTGCTCTCCCCTCCCACACGTGGCTTGTCCCTTTACTGGGACCAGCTGCACTTATATTCTTCCTTCTCCTTTTTGGCCCTTGTCTCTATAATTTACTGATTAAATGTGTCTCTTCCAGGATACGGCAATTTCACACACAGCCCCTAAAAATGGAAAGCCATCATCCAGTCGTCCTTGGAGGCCCCAGCACCTGCAAGTACATCTCCCCCTTGGATGCCAGTGGGCAAAGATTCCGGGAAACTACAGAGGGGCTCCTTCCCTGACAGAGAGCAAGAGACGGAGACCCTGATGACTTCTTCGTCCCATGTCAGCAGGAAGTAGTTACAGAAGACCCACGACGTCCTTACACCCAAAGCCTTTCAGGGTCTCCATCTCTTGAGGGGAATTATTGTTAGGGTAGGCAGTTAGGTAGGCATGAGCAGGCAAGAGAGCCCCTGGGAAAGGACTCTTTAGAAACACAGCCCACTGATGGCCTCCTTGGAGATGCTGCCCGTGGACAGTCAGCAAAATGAGGAGAGTGAGCCAGGCGCAGTGGCTCATGCCTGTAATCCCAGCACTGTGGGAGGCCCAGGCGAGTGGATCACCTGGGGTTGGGCATTGGAGACCAGCCTGACCAACATGGAGAAACCCCATGTCTACTAAAAAGACAAAATTAGCCGGGCGTGGTGGTGCGTGCCTGTAATCTCAGCTACTCAGGAGGCTGAGGCAGAAGAATCGCTTGAACCCAGGAGGCAGAGGCTGCGGTGGGCAGAGATCATGCCGTTGCCCTCCAGCCTGGGCAACAAGAGCAAAACTGCATCTCCAAAAACAACAACAACAACGACAACAACAACAACAAAAAAAGGAGAGTGTCTGGAGTGGCTACACTTGCTACACCTGGCCTTGTGTGCGTTCCTCTGTTCCAGAGGGGAACTTATCAAACCCTAGCCAGATATTACCGAGGTAGGAGATTTTCCCCACTGAGGAGCATGTATACTTCTCTAATAATTCGCCCTAATATAGCCTTTTTCACATTAAAATACTAAAAAACACCCCTGGATGGAGATTTTATTTTTTTAACCAGATATTCCATGTTGGATTTTAGATGCAAATGAGACATGTGGTGTATGCACTAGAACAGACAGTCACGGCACGTGTGTGCCCGGAGGACTTCCCAGAACATGCCTACTTGTAACGCCCCTGCATGGGCCCTTCATGAATAATCATGTAAGATTCTCATAAGAAGCATCTCCCCAGGCCGGGTGTAGTTGCTCACACCTGTAATCCTAGCACTTTGGGAGGTCGAGGGAGGCGGGAGGAGCTCAAGACCAGCCTGACCAGCCTGACATGGAGAAACCCCATCTCCACTAAAAAACACAAAATGAGCTGGGCGGGTGTGGTGGCACATGCCTGTAATCCCAGCAAGACCCCCTCTTAGAAAAGAAAAAAAGCAGGGGTTGCAATCTAGTTTCTGACAAACAGAATTTAAACGAACAAAGGTTTTAAAAAGACATGAAAGGGCATTACAAAATGGTAAAAAGTTCAATTTGACAAGAAGCTCTAACTATCCTAAATATATATATATGTACACAATACAGAAGCACCCGGTATTCCTAAAGCAAGAACTTGCTCAAAATGCAAGTTCTTAGCACTTTCAAAGAGACTGAGATACTCCCACATAGTAATAGTGAGAGACTTTAACACCCCACTGGCAATATTAGACAGATCATTGAGATAGAAAATTAACAAAAATATTCAGGATCTGTACTCAATGCTGGATCAAATGAACCTGATAGACATCTATGGAACTCTCTACTCAAAAACAGTAGAATACGCATTCTTCCCATCATCACACGGCACACACTCTTCAATAGATCACATAATTGAAAGTAAAACACTCCACAGCAAATGCAAAACAACTAAAAGAACTTGAGATCATGTTGGGCGCGGTGGCTCAAGCCTGTAATCCCAGCACTTTGGGAGGCCGAGGCGGGTGGATCACGAGGTCAAGAGATCGAGACCATCCTGGTCAACACAGTGAAACCCCGTCTCTACCAAAACTACAAAAAATTAGCTGGGCATGGTGGCACGTGCCTGTAATCCCAGCTACTCAGGAGGCTGAGGCAGGAGAATTGCCTGAACCCAGGAGGCGGAGGTTGCGGTGAGCCGAGATC